GGGGGGGTGTGGGGGGGGGTGTGGGTTGTTAAAGGGGGGGGGGGGGGGGGGGGGGGGGGGGGGGGGGGGGCACGACGTGGTAGCCACGGTACTGATAGAGGTGGCGTTGATCCCGAGCTGTGTGGTGGCCATTGTAGCTGTGTGGAATGTTGTCGAACGATGTTGTGGTTTTGTTTTTGCACAAACATATTGGCCGCCGCGGTGGCAGTTGCTGGTGGCTGTGTAGCTGTTGTTCAAGCCCGCGGTGATCACGGCCGGCTTGCTGGCGTGCTGCCCCTTCCAGGGTTGCCCCATGCCGGCGTAGTGGCATGGATTTGTTTCTGACGGTCGGTTGTTCAATCTTTGTCACACGCAGACACCACCGAAAGCACACCGGTACCTCTTCTGAATGCTACGACTCGATGTCTGTGTACCCCCTGGTTTATTTCTGGTTCTACACCCCTGGGGAGTTCCTTACACTCTCTTTGTGCGGTACTCGGTGGCATCAGTGCTGTAGGTACCACCAGATACCGTTTAGCTCTTCTCCGAGACGTGTCACTACTTCTGAAACGAATAATTACACCCAAACTTCCAAAACAAGTCGATTCCGATACGTTTTTCTGTTTTCCTGTTTTCTAACATAGCGTCCTGTTTCCTGTCTTTTTTTTCCTCTCGTTCAGAGCGGGGTGCCATTTCAAGTTCTGGGTCGCGGATTGGTTCGCTCAGCTCAACAACAAAATGGGGGGTGATCTCAAGAAGATTCAGGTGAAGAATGACGATCCTGTGAAGAATGACGATCCTGTGACGAATTGACTCGGGAGAGAAGCATTCGGGTGAAACGTTGTCCTTGGTGTGTGTCTGTGTTTTCTTAGTTAGCGTCGACTGCGCTAATCGGCTGACCAATGAAAAAAAGACGTCAGCATTTAGCGGGATAAAAAGCACCAACACTTTCTAGTCGAGGGGTAATAGTTCTACCCGACAAAGTGTGTGTCTTTAGTACTGGAATCGATCGCGCTAACGACTGACCGTTGGAAGTACGTCAGTCTTGTAGCGGGACAAAAACTGTCTGTGTGTGTTCATTCCCAACTACACGGTGAATGGGGAACGGGAGGTGGACGTGGTAATAGTCTCTTGGTGTGCCGGGATAGCATAAACCAGTTAAAAGTTAGGTGCCTTCAGTGTGGCAGCTGATGTGTGGGAGCATAAGGTACAGATGGACCCGTTTGGCGTCCCTCTGGGGGCACGTATGCCATTTGTCGCTTTGTTCATTTTCTTCTCTCTCCTTAGTCCAGATGAAGACACAAGACCCGTGCAAAGCGACCACTGTTGTTGTTTTTCGAAGTATATTAAACAGATCCCCAAACACGCACGACGACGCCTTCTTGTTTTTTTTTTTGTGCAGACCGTGGGTAAGTACATGATCGAGATCTGGAAGGCGACGGGGATGGACATGAACAACGTGGAGTTCTTGTGGGCGAGCGAGGAGGTGCGGCGATTTTTGCGGAAGGGGTGTATGCACGGGGGGGGGGGGGGGGGGGGGGG